AGTCATTGCTTTTATACTGAAGCATCTGAAAGAGCTGTTGATAGATTATTTCTCAGGTGCTGTCAGGTCAAAGAAGACAACAGATTTTGATTGGGTCATTACTGTACCTGCTATATGGGATGCACGAGGAAAAAGAATGATGAGAGAAGCTGCTTATCTGGTGAGTGATAAATAATTATAGATATCTACATACATGGCATTCATGATCTGTTGTAAAAATTTGATCCCCAGGGGTCTTCAGAGTTCAGACCATTATATTGATCTCCAGTCCCTTGTTGATTATAAAACTAAATCCTAAAACCTAAACACAATCCAAAAAGACCTATGAGGCTATAGGACAATGCTTTTTTAGCCAGGACCACTTATAGCATGACATTCAGAATGCAATGCAGATCAATAGATCATTAATTCTATTATAGGCTGGTTTGCTGACAGAATATGGTGGCATAACCAAGTTCACTCCGGTTTCTTATCGCTCTTTGCCTCTCCCAGATGAAGTCAATCCTGACAGGCTGTCATTAGCATTAGAGCCTGAATCAGCAGCTCTTTATAGTCAGGAAACAGTGGGAAATGAGATTAAAAAAGATCCATGTGCAGCAATTATCAAATGCCCATCAGATTACATGGTAATAGATGCTGGGGGTGGTACTATAGATATCACTGCACATATCGAAGTTGATGGTAGTATTGTAGTTGAGAATATACCAACTGGCAATGCATGGGGTGGTACGCAGATTAATGAAGCTTTTGCTAAAATTCTTGAAGGTATAGTTAATGATCCTGGATTTGAAAAGTACTTAGCTTCTGGAGACCAAGCTCAAAAAAGGGGCGATATCATTAAAATAGTTTACAATGAATTTGAAATTGATAAATTGAACTTTGGAAAAGAGGACACAGAAGAAATTCGCGTTTCATTACCAAACCGTTTTGTTAAGTTTTATGATAGGGCTCTTGAGGCTGGCGTGAAGAGAAGAAGTGGTATCGATTATGAAGATGATATATTATATATCTCCAAGGATGTAGTGGAATCTGAGTTGTTTGGTCCAGCACTAAAAGGTATAATAGAGTGCACTTTACAAGCTATTGAGGATAATGATACCGATCTTAGCACCTTTTATTTGGTTGGTGGGTTTGGAGGGTGTAAGTATGTAAAACGGAAGGTCACAGCAGCTATAGAAAAAAGCTTTCATGGCCAGGGTCGTTCTTGCAATGTGATAGTACCTTGTACTCCTCAATTAGCTGTTGCCACAGGAGCTGTAATGTGGCGTATGAATCCAGAGAAGATCAAAGCAAGACGATCTGATGCTACTTATGGGATAGGAGTGTCTACATCATTTAAAGATGATGAGCATGATGAGCATTACAAGTTTTATAATGAAGAGCAAGAAGAATATAAATGTAGTAGCGTATTTGATGTGTTTTTAGAAAAAGGTGAGCTGGTACAAACAGATCAAGTCATTACCACAAGTTTAACACCATCTTATCAGTCAGATGAGCAAGCTCACATTACAATCTATTCCACTCCTAATCTCGGAGTTCAATACACGGAAGATAAAAATGGCAAAAGCACAGTTACAAAAATAGGCCAATTAGTTATCGATATTCCTAATCCTGATAATGTACCAAGAGATGAGCGTCACATCGATATCACTATGGATTTCAGTGGTACAGAGATTCAAGCTAAAGCAAAGTATCGTATTAGTGGAGAAGAAGTTAAAACTGTTTGTGACTTTCTTTCTGCTCAAAAAAATTAGACTGTTAGTTTATTATTTAGCATACTTTTGCCTTTTAGACTATAGTTAATATATTGTTGCTATAGATTAGAATACTTAGAATAAATTTATTAGACAGTAAGATGTCGTTATTTAGTTCTATGAGAGCAAAACCGCTCTTTAAATCAGCCAAACCACTAAGACTGTAAAGATTCAACTTATACATGTAGCTCAATTTCTTAGAAACCTAAGATTATAATCAAAGCTTATTCCTAGAATTATCAAGTTCACTAGAAACATAACAGTTTATTTTGCAAACTATGTCACGCCCACACTTGACATACACATGTAAAGATATTAATACATCTGTTATACCAAACAAGATGATTTATTGGCAGGAGTAATATTTGGCAAATTTGCCTGTGGAAAGATATTCGCAAATTTTGCATTGGCAATTTTGTGCCATGTGCCATTGAGCATGCTCAGATTGAAACAAAATGGCAGATTTTAAATCTTTATAGAACCACCAATCGCCAATATTAATTTCCTGCTAATAAATCATCTTGTACAGTAATTGGCTAATTTTTAAAGTAATTTTGAAGCATTTTTAAACTTTCTGACCAAATCCTAAATTTAATAAATTTCTCACTACAATTTTTTAATATACCATATAGCGGATTTCTTTTGTTTGGCCAAATTCACTCTTTTTGTTCTCCAGGCTTCAAAATAAAAATCAAATCCACAAAATCACATAAAACTAGACAGGTGCAGTCCTTTCAAAAAACAAAAATGAAACCCACAAAGTTGAATTCTCCCCCCCCCCAAAAACCAAAAACCTGCTATATGGTATGGCATTCAGGCTTTCTTTCCTTTTGTCTCATCCCTTCTTACCTGGAGCTGTTCTTGTGTGCAACTAAATATAACATCTTTCTTCTTTCCATCACCTTACTAATGTCAATTAATAACAATTAACAAGTAAAATTAAATACTTCAGTATAAGACTGATTGTATTTGTATACACTGGTTTGTCTCTAAGAATACACAGCCAAAAGTTTGTGATTGAACCATGAATGATGTCAGTCCTGATCCGGCCTAACGCATCCTGTATCATAGATTTTGGGCAGCTAATATGGCAATGAGCCTAGCTGGATCTATCAGCCTTGATACAATTATGCTGAAATTCATACTGGTTCAGCCAGAGCAACAGGTATGATTCAGCAATGATACCTGTCAGACTGTATCAATACTGTAATCAGGCTCAATTCATTGATTTTGGGCAGTGCCTTGTATCATACATGCTGTGTAGCTAACTAAAGCCCAAAATACACTGAGCAACTTTGTTGCCAGTACCTTTGATGTGGTGAGGCAACTTGTTGCCAGAAGTTGAGAGTCTCTCTACTTTCTGCAACATGTTGCCCAGTGTTGCTCAACCACATCAAAGGTCTGACCACAAGTTGCCAGCAACAAAGTTGCTCAGTGTATGTTGGGCTTAACCTTAATATAATAATCTAATCTCAAGTTGACGTCAATGAGCTAGGTAAGGAAATTATAAATGAATTCTGCCAAACCTTACTTGCTCTTAGCTTTGCTTTTATTAATCCTACAAAATATAAAAGAAAAGAACAAAAAACAGAAAAGAAATTAAAAGATTATTACTAATGTAACGAAATTTATTAATTACATTATAAAGTGTCACTAAAGCTTCAATTCAGTTAGTTTGCAATAGAAAGAGAAAGAGAGAGTGAGAGTGAGAAAGAGAAGTTGGGACAGAAGAGAAAGGGCAAAAAAGGGTTATGAATAAATGATACATCACATGTGTAGGAATGATTCAAAAGTTGGGGGGCTCAACATTAAAAAGCAAGTGAACATTAAGGGCTAAGCCTCTCCTGCATGCTGAAAAGTTGGGGGCTTCAGCCTCCTAGCCCCCCCCCCATTCCTATGCCTATGCATCAATAGATATTTTACCGTATTTGTACCTAGTGCGTGCACCTTCAATTGATTCCAATCAAATTTTGATTTTTTTGTAAATTTTCAAAGTTGCTCAAAAATTGGGCAAATGACCAAAAATTAGCCTTGGTCTTTGGCCAAATTTTGTCAAAAATGACTAGGAGAGAATTCTCAGTTTTTATTTTTTCTAATACATATACCTGCCCTTTGCAAGAGTTCACTGTTTTGATCACCAATTTCTTCTGTACTAATCCCTACCAATCCTTTCAGTGCAATATTTAACTGGTTACCATACATCAGAATGGGAAAATAATATATTTGCTCCTTTGGCATCTGTGCAGACTCATTCCAAGTCAGTTGATTGGTATCATGCAATAGGTCTGTGTAAGATCAACTGTGAATATTAGTGGAGGCAATAATAAATAAAATAAAAAAGAAATCAATAAAAAATAAAAAAAATATACAAATACAAAAAAGTGTTAGCATAGAGTATGTAACATTAAAGACTAGTTTACAATATTACACAAGTGCTGAAGTTACGTAGATGCAGGAATAGAATCTGGTTCTATTCTAGTGGAAAGTATGCGTCAAAAGATCAAATCGCCCATGCTTTTGATTAAAAATTGACAGTATGCTGGCCTAATGTTATTTTGTAAATCCACCTTAACTTTTTTTTAACATAAGTCTTCGAACTTCTTTGCTATTTTTATCATTACCTAATATATTTTTACTTTTAAAGACTCAGTCACCTACCATAATAATCACAAAATTAAAAGTTGTCTGTACCTATAACTTTTTAAATAACAACTTCTTGCTGGCACGCACTTTATAGCAAGCCATACACTTTAAAGACATTTGCATCCATTTCTCCATCATTTTTAAACAGAAGTTGAACATTTAAAAATATTTTTCAAGCAAGATTTAAGGTTGCCTTCTACTATTAATATCAGTGCACTTAACATAAAGCCCCTGAAAATGAATTTTTCATTTTTATATTAGCCAACTATCATTCTACCTTGACATTATCTATTTTTACTAATTTATGCCTCTCTGTAAGATTTTGTGGAATCTCTTCAGCTCTTTCTATCCTATGTTAAAGCATTAAAATAGATCTTAAGATCACTGTGATAAACCTTTTTGCATGTCTTCCGATTTCTTCATGTAGACTTTGATTTGCCTGTGGTAGTATAGATTTATACGTATTAGGCATATGATCTAAAGAGTAACTCTTTCAGTCAATTTATCTGATAGTCAATTCTTGCTTATTTCTTGCCTATGGTAAACATCCTGGGCTCACCTTAGCCTCAGCTCTGAGCTATTAAATTCCAAAATTCTCTCTTCAAGATCTTTTAAAATAGATCTATGGGTATTTTATGATAAATATGCTTATACCCCTTTTTGGATTTAAAGGGTTCTGTTACACTATCCATAGTTTTTCTGTTGTCCAGTAAGATCCAGATATAATTTCTAAAAGTTTATTCATTGGGTGGTCAGTCTTGGAATTGTTGTTATCCTCCACTCTAATATCTATGTCCTCCTTCGCTCAAATTTATCATTTCCATGAAATACAAATCTATTAGATTTTATAACTAATTTAAACTAAATCTACTAGATCTAGATACAGTATTAAAAAATTTCATTCAGATTGATATTATTTTGCAAAGCAGTTTCCACACTGATACAAAAAGTACCACTAACAACTGCCATATTTTCTGTAATATTGTTGCAATAAACACAAGCTAAGCAGTGAGCATGATAAAAACCACTTCCAGTATCAAGAGCCTAAAAATGAATAAGTTTTGGTAGTACTATAAATATGTAGGTGAACCTTATTATCTAAAAGTTGCTGTCAACTATTACTAGCAGCTGTTACAATAAACCATATCATACTACCCATTGGCTTCAGCAGTTATGGATAAAGATATTCATGACATCTACACCATATACACAGTTCTAAGAATAGTTAATTTAGTTATGAATGTGCACAGGAATTCATTGATATTGCTCATTTCTTGGAATTGAAATAAGGAATTCATAGAGAAAACAAGCATCACAAAATTATAAAGCTTTACTAGGCTCAGTTTTGCTTCAGTCTATAGATCCATCACTTGTAGGAATGGCAGCATCAGCAGGGTACTTTGCAATCGGTCATCGAAGTATTCAACTTATTCCAGTTAACCTTCGAAAACCAAATTATAAGCCTCCTCTTAGCAGAGCAAGAAAAATTCCACCTCCTAAAGAAGATAGTTATTGTCTTACTGATGAGTTAAACATTGCTGCTATTGATTTTGGTACTACATCAGTTTCAGTTTCCTACATTACAAAAGGAGATAAAAAATTTTCCATGTTATCATTGGACAATAAAGAATCTTCTCGAGTCTGCAATGCACTCCTTTTAAAGAAAGAGGATAATGGCAAAATGAAGGTGGAGGCTTTTGGAAGTGTAGCTCGTAATAATTTTATAACAATGAGATCAGCTGAGCATCACACCCACATCTACTTTGAGAGAATCAAAATGTTATTGAGAAGAGAGAAGGTATGCTATAAAATTATTAGATCTAATATTTTATATGATTAATTTAAAATTCAGTTAGTCAATAGAGATACAGTAGTTGAGTCATTTTCTGGTGATAAATTCTATCTGGTTGAAGTCATTGCATTTATACTGAAGCAACTGAAGGATCTACTGATAGAGCATTTATCATGCACTGTCAAGCCATTGATGACAACAGATTTTGATTGGGTCATTACTGTACCTGCTATATGGGATGCACGAGGAAAAAGAATGATGAGAGAAGCTGCTTATCTGGTGAGTGATCAATTAATTCATCATCATTATCATAATTTATTCAGGCTGGTCTGCTAACAGAATACGGAGGCATCAGCAAGTTCACTCCAGTTTCTCATCACTCTTTGCCTCTTCCAGATGAATTTAATCTTGACAGGCTATCATTAGCACTAGAGCCTGAATCAGCTGCCCTTTATAGCCAGAAAACAGTGGGAGACCAGATTAAAAGTGATCCAGATACAGCAATTATCCACCATCCTACAGATTACATGGTAATAGATGCTGGTGGGGGTACTATAGATATTACAGCTCACATTGAAGTTGATGATAATGTAGTTGTAGTTGCATGAGAATATACCAACTGGCAATGCATGGGGTGGTACACAGGTTAATGAAGCTTTCTCTAAAATTCTTGAAGATATGGTTAATGACCCTGGATTTAAAAAGTTCTTGGCTTCTGGAGAGCATACAAAAAATATGGCAGATATTATCAAAATTTTTTACTCTGAATTTGAAAGTGAGAAATTGATCTTTGGAATGGAGATGGACCAAACAAAAGAAATTCGTATAGCACTACCAACTGGTTTTGCAAAGTTTTATGATGAAGCTCTTAAGGCTGGTGTCAAGAGAAGAAGCGGCATCGATTATGAAGATGATAGGGTATACATTTTTGAGAAAGTAGTGGAATCCGAGTTATTTGGTCCAGCACTTAATGGTATAATAGAGTGCACTTTACAAGCTATTGAGGATAATGATACCGATCTTAGCACCTTCTATTTGGTTGGTGGGTTTGGAGGCTGTAGTTATGTTCATAAGAAGGTCAAAGCTGCTATAGAAAAAAGCTTTCATGGCCAGGGTCGTTCTTGTAATGTGATAGTGCCTCCTACTCCTCAATTAGCTGTTGCTACAGGAGCAGCTATGTGGCGTAGGAATCCAAAGAACATCAAAGCAAGACGATCCGATGCTACGTATGGGATAGGTGTGACTATACCATTTGAAGACGATAAACATGACGAGTATTACAAGTTTTATAATTAAGAGCAAGAAGAATACAGATGTACTAATGTGTTCAGTGTGTTTCTAGAAAAAGGAGAATTGGTGCAAGCAGATGAAGTCATTACCACAAGTTTAGTACCACTTAAACAATCAGATGAGCAAGCTCAAATTACAATATATTCTACACCTAATCTTGGAGTTCAATACACAGAAGATAAAAATGGCAAAAGCACAGTCAAAAAAATAGGTCAATTAGTTATTGACATTCCTAATCCTGATAATCTGCCTAAAGAAAAGCGTCAAATTGACATCACTATGGATTTCAGTGGTACAGAGATTGAAGCTAAAGCAGAGTACCATATTACTGGAGAAGAAGTTAAAACTATTTGTGACTTTCTTTCTGCTTAAAAAATTTAAGACTGCTACATGGTAGTGTTTAGCATATTTAGCCTTTCAGAGTAGCATATTTAGCCTTTCAGAGTATAGTTCATAGATAAATACTTTAAATTTATTAGACAACAAGATGTCAATCTTTAGATCCACATCAGCTAAACCACTCTTTACATCTGCCAAACCACTAAGACTGTAATGATACAACTTATGCATGTAGTAATTGTAGTTCAATTTCCTAGAAACCTAAAATTATATTCAAAGCTTATTCCTAGAATTATCAAGTTCACTAGAAACATAACAGTTCATTTAGCAAAAAAGACATGTCTCACACAAATGCACACACTTATACACATAACAATTATTAATGCATCAGTTATTTATTGTTGGCTAAATTTCTCAAGTGATTTTGAAGCATCTTTCAACTTTCCCACCAAATCCTAAATTTGATAAATTTTATCACTATTATCCTTTCAATATACTGTATAGTGGGTTTCTTTTGTTTAGCAAAACTGATTCGATGCATCCTTCATGCTCCAAACACAATAATTAAGCCCACAAAATTATGAAAACATACAAAGTAGATGGCCATGGTCCTTCCACAACAGAACAAGAATAAACCCACAAAGTTGAATTCCCCCTTTAAACAAAAGTCACAAAAGAAACCCACTATACGGTATGCAGCCTTCATGCTTCCTCTCCCTTCCTCTTACCTGGAGCTGTTCTTGTGTGCAACTAAATATAACATCTTTCTTCTTTCCATCACCTTCCTACAATATTAAATAATACAAATAAAAAATTAATTTAAAAATCATACTTCAGTATTAAGACTGATTGTATAAACTGGTTTGTCAACTCTTTCCAAATGATTACTCTAATACATGTAGATATAATATGATATTTAGTAATAACTAGAGTAGCTAATTAACTTTGATATAATAATCTAATCTCCAGTTGACGTCAGTGAGGTAAGGAAATGATGAACGAATTCTACCCAACCTTGCTCTTAGCTTTGCTTTATTATCCTACAAAATTTAAGAAAAAGAAGAAAAGGGAAAAAGAAAAGAGATGATTACTAATACCGTACGGTTGGTAAATTTCATGGGGTATTAATTTTCGTTAATTTTGTGGTTTATTTTTATCCATGAAATTTTAACCCCTACCCACCCACACATAAAAAACTAATAACGGGCCATGCAGAGGTCTAACTACTATTTTCAAACCAGTAGAGGAGCCAGAGTTCTTGTCTGTTACTCCATATTCCACCATAAGCCATGTGTTGGAAGCTAGTCCAGTAGATCCAAGTGAAAAGAAGTTTGCTAATTACCACCCACGAATATTTGTACCCACGAATATTAGCTTCTAAGGACATTTTGGAGAAAACACGAAATTTTGGACCCTCGAATATTACCAACCGTACGGTATAACTAAATCAATTAATTACATTATAAAGTGTTACTAATACTTCAATTCTGTCAGGAGTTAATTTACAATCCTCCAATGTAGACCTATGAGAGAGAGTGGGTGAGAAAGAGAAATTGGAAAAGGAAAGAGAAAGGGAACAAGAGAGGAAAGTTACAAACAAATAATACATCAATAGCTATTGTAAGGTATTTGTACCTCATTCCAGTGGTATCAGTGTCAGTTCGAGCACCTTCAATTAATAATATAATTAATGATGAGTAGCACTCCTTCAACATCCCTTGATTTATCTTTGATAATTTACCATCATCTAAAAATAAAAATACAGACACTTGCTGCTAGTTACAATGTAGGTGGGATGGTGCAGAGTTTCCCACAGGGTTTTGGCATAGTGCTCATTGTCAGTGGATTGTCAAGTGGCTCAGAAATTGGGCCAAAGACCCAGCAGGGTATTTCAACAAAAATCACAAGGAGAGAATTTCAATAATTTTTTCTGATACATGTTCTTATGTTGTGCATTGACTAACTTGAGCTGATTCCAATCAAACTTGGATTTTTATGAATTTCAAAATTGGGCATTTGGCCAAATTTCGCCAAAAATGACTGGGAAAGAATCTTTAATTTTTGTAATTTCTTCTGACACATATACATGTTCTCATTAACTTTGAGTTGATTCCAATCAAATTTGGATTTTTATGAAATTTTAAAAATCAGGCAAACGACCAAAGGCTATAGCCTTTAAGGGGGTGGGGTATGTAATTCTCATTAATTACTCATATACTTTCAAATCATTTATAGCAAAATTATAGCAAAATTACTAGAGTGTTAGACTTTTTTTATTAACAGATCTCATCATTATCTTTGTGTAAAAAACCAGTGAGACTGATATTAAAGGTGGAACAAGAAAAAATATTGAAAGATGCAAGTTGTTGCTTTGACGCATTTTGTGACAACACACTTCATACAAGAGACTTCAAGTTAATAAAATGAAGTTAAAATTTCTTGCTCTATAAACGTATAGAGCGATTTATACATTAAGTTCTTTAGTTCTTGATAAACTACCAAACCGAGGTTATAAAGCTACCTGTAAATGCCAATAAATCAGTCATGGAGGAGAAAATTGCACAAAATGCTCTATACAATTCTTGGAAAGAATGCTTTCTCTTTAGAAATAATCTAACTAACCGGAATAGGTAGGTGCTGATCCTTAAAAATGAGTCAGAACAAAACTATAAGTGGTGGCCATCTACTACTATAGACTTAATCACTTAATTAGAATTAGAAATAAAACGGTATTTAAAAGTTCACCCGCCCCCTTAATCTTTGGCCAAATTTTGCCAAAAATGACTAGGAGAGAATTTTCTTTTTTATAATTTTTTCTGATACATATACATGTCCTTATGCTGTGTATCAACTTTAAGTTGATTCTGATCAAATTTAGATTTTTTAAATGAATTTTTAAGTTGCTCCAAATGCAATGTACATGTAGCTCTTTGTAGAAAGCTCTGAGGCCACGAGACAAAAGGTGCGGTCAAAATAGACGAATCTCGTTAACCCTAACATTAACTTGCAACAAACACAAACATCAATGTATGATGCAGCAACAACAACAGATTAAACAAGAAAAAACATGATACAAACTGTGACAATATCTTCCCCATCTGTCTCCTACTCTACCTTGTATAATGGACGGGTCAGTGTCCTCCATTATAGATTGAAGTACTAACTGAGTCAATCTGTTGAAGGACTTGTCATCTATTGAAGAAGAACCAGCCAATTGCAGTCCAGTTACTGTGCTACCTGATAACTCCATTTTGAATAGTGGGCGGGGCTGGGTCACGAGCAATAACTAATGAATACTAATTAGGAAGGGTCACCACCCACGCACACAATTGGGAAATGAAAACTAGAATCTATAGCCAAAGAAGCAACAAAAAGAGATACAAATATAGACATCTGCAAAGAAAGGAAGAAGTTAAGGTTGAAAATGAAAAATATCATTGTGCAGTTTATGAATTATTGGTATCAGGATTTGATGTGAAAGATTGATCCCTTGCTATAGGTTCAGTATCAATACTAATGGTATCATCTGATGGAGAAGGAGTACCTGAAATCTTTAATAATAAATGAACACATGATTTATTGATTTACCTTCTAAATGAGGCCGTTTGGAATCACCATTATTATTATTCTCGTCATTTAAAATCCTTTTACTACCCTGAGAAAGGCGTATGAGAAGTCACAAAAAAGTTTTAAAAACTCATCAATTTAAACTAATATTCCTAACTGGTAGAGAAGGAGGTGGCATTTGATGTTTGTCTGCAGTTTCCATCATCATCTGATGAGCTTTCTTTCTCATATCTTCATCCTTTAAACAATAAAAGATAAAGGATAATTAATATACATCTCCCTTGCCCTCTCTCTCTCTCTTACTTTAAGCCAGGTGTGTTCCAGTGCTTGTGCTGAAGTCCATCTCTTGCTTGAATCCACTGTCAATAGCTTCTCAATTAAATCAATACCTAATGGAAAGAGAGGAGAAGGGAAGGAGCTATAATTGATTACAAAGATCAATCCTGATCGGCATTAATTCTATTTGTTAGACACTGAGCTACAATGTACATATACATGGTATTAAATATAATCATTATAAGTTAGGACAGCTTAAAGCACAAGTGGAGTAGCATATATATGTAAGATTACCATCTTTAGAGACTCCATTCCAGTAAGCAGGTGGAAATGAATATATTCCTTGACAAATTTGATCGTGTAAACTGTGCTCTCTTATTTCATCAGAAAATGGTGGATACCCTCCTAACCTGTGATAATATTATACATGTAACTAATTAATAAGCAATTTCTGAAAAATACCCTTTACTATAACAGCCAATCCTTTCTTCCGAAAATCGCCTCCGTAATCACCCCAAATTTTTATTACATTTTTTGATGCATATTGATGTATTTATGCCATGTAGAAAGTTTGAGTTGATTCTGATAAGAAATTTTCGAGCTATGGTCATCTAAAGAAATTGACCAATTTTCGAAAATTTCCCTGTACTATAGCCCATGGTTTTTTCTGAAAATCGCCTCCGTAATCACCCCAGATTTTTATTACATTTTCTGATACATATTGATGTACTTATGCTATGTAGAAAGTTTGAGCCGATTTTGACAAGAAATTTTTGCATTATGGCCATCTAAAGAAATTGGCCAGTTTTCAAAAATTTCCCTGTACTATAGCCCATGGTTTTTTCCAAAAAATGTCTCCGAAATCACCCCCAATTTTTATTACATTTTCTGATACATATTGATGTACTTATGCTATGTAGAAAGTTTGAGTTGATTCTAACAAGAAATTTTCGAGCTATGGTCATCTAAAGAAATTGACCAATTTTCAAAAATTTCCCTGTACTATAGCCCATGGTTTTTTCCAAAAATGGCTCCGAAATTACCCCAAATTTTTATTACATTTTTTGATACATATTGATGTGCTAATGCTGCGTAGAAAGTTTCAGCCAATTCCAAGCTCAAATATTTGAGTTATGGTCATTTTTTAAAAATAGGCCAATTTCTGAAAAAAATCCCTGTACTATTATAGCCCATGGTTTTTTCCAAAAAATGGCTCCAAAATCACCCCAAATTTTTATTACATTTTCTGATGCATATTGATGTACTTATGCCATGTAGAAAGTTTGAGTTGATTCTGACAAGAAATTTTCGAGTTATGGTCATCTAAAGAAATTGACCAATTTTCGAAAATTTCCCTGTACTATAGCCTGGTTTTTTTCCAAAAAATGGCTCCAAAATCACCCCAAATTTTTATTAAATTTTCTGATACATATTGAAGTCCTTATGCTGTGTAGAAAGTTTAAGCTAATTCTGAACTCAAATATTTGAGTTATGGCCATTTACAAAAATAAGCCAATTACACATTAGTATCAGATTATTCCAAATGCTAACATTATGTATAGAATGACTCCCAAGCTCCAACAGTCCACAGCTTTACTGTATCCACCCAAACCTGCCGACTTGATCACCTAATTATGACACCATCAGACCACACCCATCAACCCCACCCACAATACCTCAGGAGCAAGGTAACTTGGAGTGCCACACAGTGTCTTCATCAGAGACTGCTCTCCGACAAACTTTGAGAGTCCAAAGTCCGTGACTTTAATTAGAGTCTCCTCATCAGTAGACGACAATAGAATATTCTCAGGCTACAGTTATACTAATAATATACCAATAATATACTAACATATACTGACTTTTAGATCCCTATGTGTTATACCTTTATCGTGAAGATACTGCAAAAAATAACAAACTCATTTTCTGTGTCTCTCCTACTCACTTTGACGGCTACAACCATTTGATAAAACAGTAGCTTCCCGACCTTGTCATTAAACTTTCCATTTAGTATGACTCTGTCAAACAGTTCACCTCCTTCGACGCTGTAGGATGGGTGAGCATTAATTAGAAACAGACTAGCAGCTGTCACTCACAGTTCAAGTACAATGTAAAGTGAATCAGTCGACTCGTATAAATCTTCAACTCGAATTATGCACGGCTAAGAAGGAAGGAGAAAGCAATAGCAGTGGGGAGAATAAATTAAAGCAGTTACTATTCTTGACACTATTATTATTATTAACTATAATACTAGTCTCTATAATAATAAATGTTTAGATTTTTGCATTACTATTGCTTTCGCCCACGCCGTAGGCGTATAGGCGAGGGTACTGCACTCGTTAAACTAAGTAATCTTTACTATTACCCCGTGGATAATATTTAATATATTCGACTACACTAACATGTTGCAGTGCCTTTATTATTTTGACTTCTTCCATAGCAGCTCTACCAAGATGAGGCTAGGGAGAGAGAGAGGGAGGATAGGGTGACTATACATGCAACATACTCCAACTGAAAACATCTTCTTGCTGATAATCTTGACAGCATAGCCTTTGCACGTTTCTCTGTGAAATGCTAACTTGACTATACCACAAGCTCCTCTGAAGAAACAAATTAAAATGTACATTGTATTTAAGAATGACTGCTTACTTTCCTATTTGCTTTGACATTGTGTACTTGTCTTTAAACTCCTAATTATTAATTAATTTATTATTATTTATTAATTATTATTATTATTATTATTATTATTATTATTATTATTATTATTATTACTTCTGGTAAATTGTTGTTTTGTTCTGAGACACTTCTATCATTAAACACAAACACTACAAGGAGGAGGTGTGGCTATTAATAATGAGAAAGCACTTACCTTTATTGTTTTTGACTGAGAGTGATATTTCATCGTCGTTGTTCAAGATATGGGTCTTATTTTTACCAATTTTATCGCCATTAATAAAAGTACCATTAGAGCTAAGAGAAAGGATAAAGAAAGAGAAATGATGATCATTATGAATACAAATAATATCAAACTTACCTTTTATCTTGAAGGAACACAACAAACTGATTCGAATCAGTTTTGCTCCTTTCCTATAAACAAAAAATATCCTTTTCTCCATGTACATGTATCATGTTATAATTCTCAATTTCTCATCCATTTTCTTGTTCCCCCCAACCTTTCTTTCTCCCTTTGTCTCTCATTCTCTCTTTTACCCTCACCCTGTATATTCTGAAGTGAGTGCTGGAGTAGGTGGGGTAGTGCTGGTTGGACGTGCCTCCTCTTCTCTCAAAGCAATAATCGCAGTCTTCGGACCGTCCAAATATATACTCGTCGTCTGAGAAATCTTTTAAAATTTAGCATTAAAAAATTAAATATCAAATGCATATAAATGGATACCAATTCCAGTGAGTCCAGCTCTAGGGAGTGGGAAGAATCTGCCCCATATTTCCAGTGATTGCTCTTCAGCAGCTCCGTCCGTCTCGTCTACTGCTACCTCAGTGTCTGGTAGATCTGATACATCTAAAGTAGGGCCACAAGAGGACATATCCATTTGGAAATAAATTAAATATTCCTCCAAACTCCCAGCTTCCAAGACACTCCACGAGGCTAGTAGATAAAGAGTTAAAGTTGTTGGCCAGTGTTGGGTGTGTTCAAAATTATTATTAGAGACAAAGATATCAAGAAACAACAGACAACAGACAAGCATGAAAAAAGGGCCTGACCCACGCAATCAGAAGTTAAGGACCATAGTCCAGAGATAAAACAGAAAATGGCAACAGCCTCGGATCTGAGCGATTATCATGCGATGAAGAATATCCTGCTGCAGGTAGTAGATGGGATAAAGAGCAGCCATTCTCGTTTTCAAAAGATCAGTGAGAGAGAGGACAGGTGTGATATGGACGCTGAAACGATGAAAAGACGCTGCGGGGGCAAGTATTCCTGCAATCACAAGGGTTGCATCATATTGAAATGGCCCGAGGACATGACCACATTCCAGCAACTATTCTGGGATGTAAAACCAGCCAGTATCATAGAGCTAGGTAGTTTCAATGGTGGATCAGCACTATGGATGGCTGACATGCTCCGTATGTTAGAGATAGAGTGTTCCATTCACTCCATGGACATTGATCCCTCACTTATCTCTGATTTGGCTAAAGATTTAAAACCTAAAAACGTCACATTCATTCAAGGAGACAGCAACAAGTTGGGAGAAACTTTTACTGATGAGTTTCTTAAATCCCTACCACGGCCTTTATTGGTCATTGAAGATGTTCACGTCAACTTGTATGGAGTGATGGAGTTCTTTCATCCATATATGAGCATTGGAGATTATTTCATCATGGAGGATCTAAGTCCCGAGGTTCCAGATAGTAGTGGTTACGGACTGATGGAATCAATACCATACAAAAGGATTGGGTCTGGAGATATTACTACAGTAAAGAAGTTTCTAAGTGATTATGCTGATCATTATTCTGTTGATTCATTTTATACCGATCTCTTTGGATACAATGGCGTCTGGAACTGGCATGGGTATATTCGCAAGATGTCCAATTGAAAAAAATATCATGATTTAATGCTTTATTTTTGTATTAGATCTAATTGTATATAAATAATAATAATTATTATTAAAGTTTAGCATGAGACCTATGCATCACCAGATCCTTAGTAATACTACTAATATTAGGAGTACCAGAGAGGACCATAGCTTGTCTAAATTCTTCTCTTAATATACTCAATACTTCACAAACACCTTCTTCACCCTGCAACATATTGATATCATTATACACCTTCTTCCCTATATCTCTTACATTGACAGCTAATCCCCATAGTACAGGACGTCCTATAAATACACATCTAGCTCCCAGTGCCAATGCTTTAAATACATCTGTTCCATGTCTTATACCACCATCCAGATACACCTCAATATTAGACCCTTTCACTGCCTCTACTATACCAGATAGTGCATCAATCTAAATAGAGAGAGATAGATGTGAAAAAAGAAAGGGGAGAGAGTGGATGAAAGAGGGGAAAATGTATGGAAGAGAAAAAGAGTCCAGAAGTGTCTTTACACATATTAACCTACAGTTGCTGGTACAGTATCTAATTGTCTTGCTCCATGATTTGAGACTAATATTCCCTGTATATCATGTTTCATTGCTTCCCTAGCATCATCTGCTCTTAACACTCCTTTCAATACAATCGGCAATCTAGTTATACTCCTCAGCCAATCAATGCCATCCCAAACAAGTGATGGATCTATTAATTTCTTAACATACTCTTGTAAAGCCGATCCACCACTTGATGCCAATGAACTACTATCTCTTTCACTAAAATTGGCCAACTTGAGATGTCGAGGAAGAGAAAACTTATTTCTCTTGTCCCCATATCTCAGCCCAAGCTCAGGAGTATCAACAGTGACCACTAAAGCTTTGAAACCTTCCCTCTCGGCTCTACGAACAAGATCGATTGTCAAGTTATTGTCTTTATAAACATATAACTGAAACCAGCGAAAGGAGTGGCTGCCATTGTGCTTTGCTACCTCTTCAATATTTGTAGTAGACCAAGAGCTAAGGGTCAAACAAGTACCCATTCTTGCAGCAGCTAAAATGAGGATAAAAGTAATAAATGAATTTAGTTATACATGTATTATATACCTCTAGCAGTAGCTTTCTCTCCATCAGGATGAGCAAGGCATTGCATAGCAGTAGGTGATATACCTATTGGCATATCAATAGTATCACCTAATAATCTAACACTCATGTCAATCAGAGATACATCAACCAATACTCTGGGAAATATACTATACCTACAGCAGGGAAGGAAAGAGACAAAGAGATACCATACAAATACAATGTAAATTTTTCGAGGGCTGTAAATTTCCAAAAATAAATCAGTGAAAATCAATTCAAGATGGCAGACAGTGTAACAAAATACACAAATTACATTCTGGGGCCTGGGCTTAGCTTTTTAAGAGTTGTTCACACTTTATGAAAATTTGAGGTAAACTAACTGTTACTAATATCATTATTACCGGTTATAAGCTTGCACATTGTCCCTCAGAGTATATTCTGTAGTTGCTCCAGATGAATAGTATCCCCAAGCGTTCCTATCTAATATTGAGCGAGCCTCTTCTTCGTATTCTTCTAAACAAATGAGGCTCTTGGTAGCCATTTTTCTTTTAATAAACACTTAATTTTAATAATGAAAAATGATTAATGAGTTGATTTACTGTTTGTTTTAAATTAAAGTTTAGCATGAGACCTGTGCATCACCAGATCCTTAGTAATACTACTAATATTAGGAGTACCAGAGAGGACCATAGCTTGTCTAAATTCTTCTCTTAATATACTCAATACTTCACAAACACCTTCTTCACCCTGCAACATATTGATATCATTATACACCTTCCTCTCTCTATATCTCATACATTGACAGCTAATCCCCATAGTACAGGACGTCCTATAAATACACATCTAGCTCCCAGTGCCAATGCTTTAAATACATCTGTTCCATGTCTTATACCACTGTCTAGATACACCTCAATATTAGACCCTTTCACTGCCTCTACTATACCAGATAATGCATCAATCTAGAGAGAGGGAGAGGTGAAAAAAGAAAGGGAAAGAAGAATATAAATCTAAAAGACCATTACTCGTATTAGCCTACAGCTGCTGGTACAGTATCTAATTGTCTTGCTCCATGATTTGAGACTAATATTCCCTGTATATCATGTTTCATTGCTTCCCTAGCATCATCTGCTCTTAATATTCCTTTCAATACAATCGGCAATCTAGTTATACTCCTCAGCCAATCAATGCCATCCCAAAAAAGCAGTGATATCCCCCAGCTTATCAGTAATGAGGTACTATCTCTATCACTAAAATTAGCCAACTTGAGGTGTGGAGGTAAATAAAACTTATTTCTTTTTTCAGGAAATCTCGTTCCAGATTCAGGAGTATCAACAGTGACCACTAAGGCTTTGAAACCTTCCCTCTCAGCTCTACGCACAAGATCGATTGTCAAGTTATTGTCTTTATAAACATATAATTGAAACCAGCGAAGGGAGTGGCTGCCATTGTGCTCTGCTACCTCTTCAATACTTGTAGTAGACCAAGAGCTAAGGGTCAAACAAGTACCCATTCTTGCAGCAGCTGAAATGAGGATAAAAGTAAAAAATGAATTTAGTTATACATGTATTATATACCTCTAGCAGTAGCTTTCTCTCCATCAGGATGAGCAAGGCATTGCATAGCAGTAGGTGATATACCTATTGGCATATCAATAGTATCACCTAATAATCTAACACTCATGTCAATCAGAGATACATCAACCAATACTCTGGGAAATATACTATACCTGAAGGGGGAAAAGGAGAAGAGATTATGATTACAATTCTGATAAAAATATGTAATTAAATTAGAGAAATGTTCTTGTAAATAAGCATTCTTTAAAACAATATTATATGTACAACATGAACACTGAACATAAACTACTGTTTTCTGATATTATCATTACCGGTTAAAAGCCTGCAAATTGTCTCTAAGAGTATACTCTGCTATTGCTCCAGGTGAATAGTATCCCCATGTGTTCCTATCTAATATTGAGCGAGCCTCTTCTTCGTATTCTTCTAAACAAATAAGTCTCCTGGTAGCCATTTTTCTTTTAATAAACACTTAATAAACAGAAACTCCTTTATAATCAAATCCATTATTTCAGTGAATCAATATCATCATCATCAATAAAATCAAGAGTACATGATAAAATACAGAAATAACTAAATAAATATGAGTTACGGATACATATACCAATTTCAAGAAGGAGTCCATACATTTCCTTTACAATCAGGAGCAAGATATCTATCATTCCATATCCAGGGTCTATCTACAATAAGTTAAAGAGAACGCTCAAGGGAGAGGAAGAAAGAAGAGATAAAGCAATTCTCACCAGTTGTTTTATAATCAGTCAGTGGCAGGTCAATGGGAATGGGTAGCATGCTATTATCTACAAGAATAAATACGAGAACTGAATAACAGCAGCTACAATACTACGTACTGGAAGAACTTTCTCCAACCATTAGTGTACCAGATTCATCCTATGACATGCAAGGAATTGCTATTTACAAAATGTTTGTATATGTCACATACATCAGGCAAGAGGAGTACACCAATCTCATATGATCTTATTCTCAGTTGTGTTCCCTTCTTTTCAAACCCTCCCCATGCAGCCTTTGAGAGGTTCGCACTATGAGATGTATCAAAAGGAAGCAACAGCAAAAATGTGACAAAAGCTTCTCCTCTCATTACCTGGTTAAAAGGAACCAAGCTAATCTGTCACAAGTAGGAGACACTCTCATGTATGTCTTTATGTGAGGAGAAGCTCTTGAACGACCATAACCTTCAGCAACCCACTGACTGCAAGAAAGACAGTAATTGTAAAATATACATGACATATACTTAAAGAAGGTAGTCAGGTAAGGTTGCTTTAGAGCTGTCTGACTGGCATAAGGAACAGATCCTCCAGCTATAGTAATGATGTGTTATGTAGAACAAACAATAACACTACTGACCCATGTATCCTTCTAAGCTATTCTTAATGTTTTCTACTGTAGGAAATACCTAGAAAATATTATAATATAATAGGCATGTGCTTCTTATGTTGCTAATTACTAATTGAAGTTTTCCTTTTGGTATTTCACTGCGCAATGTCTTAACTGTGCCTGTCTTCCAACATGAACTCAAACTAGTTAGCCATTCTGAAGTCAGCCATGATGAAGGAGCAGGCCCTAATGAGCCAATGGAGGAGAACTGACCAATAACAGGCCAGTCCTTTGTTGTGGTAGAGGCTGATGGGCCATGCTCCTCTAGTACCTTGGGATTTAATGAATAGCAAATAAAAGGATCTTCTTATTTACTTTTCTAAGCTTCATGTGTCCCCATTTGAATATATTCAGTCCAGTGTGAGGGCCTGGGACAGAAGCTATGATGTGTGCTCTGAATAAAAATAATCACTCCCTCTATACTCAATACTCACTCTCTCACTGAAAGTGTGTGTGTATGTACATGTGTACCTGCATGATGACATGTCATGAGATTTCACTTTCTCTTTCCATTCATTCATGGCAGCTCCTGTATATGTATCAAGATAACTCTTTTACTAATAATAAAATAAAGATTATAGTATACTATACCTACCAGTAGATCATCTTGAAACTTGCAGCTTCTCTTTACGGTGCTCTTAGGAAATACAGGACTCATCCATACACTAAAAATGATATTAATTGGTAATCATCACCTGTCATTGAATGATCTATACCCTTGTGTCTTCTGATCCCAGTCTTTCTGAATAAGATTAGCAGTGTGTATGACAACACGTAGTCCTTCATTATAGCTAAGTAGCATCATCTTACTATTATAAATGTACATGTACTTATTAAAGAGAAACAGAGGAAGTGTATGTGTGTATTTAAATTTCCAGAATGTTCAATGCTGCTACAGTAGAGCAACTACAGTACAAGCCTACCTGTGATGTGTTCCAAACAAATCTAACTTTGCCTATAATAAAGAGGAGCTATAAATTCAGTGCACTAATTATTAATTTCTTCATTATAACCTGCAACAGTTTGATGTTAGGGTGAGGGAGTGAGTCCATTCTGAGTGACTCAAATTCCCTTCCTTGGAAACCATGAACTATTAGTAATGGTAATGATCTAGAGTTGTGAAAAATTACACAGTAACAAACTAGTTTTTGAAAATTAATGGTAAAATGCCATTATTGCAATACAATGACAGTAATACATGCATTTATTAACCTCTTGTCTTCAGGATACTGATCTAGCAACCATTTGATGTCAAACATGTAGTTAAACTATAAAAAACAACAATAGTTATGTGCATAAAAATTTCGAAGTGATAATCCATGCTTTTACAGTTCAGCCTGCTATTGTCAAGACACTTCCACAATCAGGACAGTATTATTGGGTCCCAAAGTACCCATGTAGCACATTAAGGTGGATTTACAATATGACATTAGGCCAGCGTACCGTCAATTTTTAATCAAACGCGTGGGCAGTTTGACCTTTTGAGGCATGCTTTCCACTGGAATAGAACCAGATTCTATTTCAGCGTCAACGTAACGTCAGGACTAGCGTAATATTGTAAATCCGCCTTTATGACGTCCTTATGCTATGTAAAAAGTTTGAGCCAATTCCAACTGCAATTTATCTAGTTATGGTCATTTTTAAAAATACCATATTTCCTAGGGAAAATATTTCACGAAAATCACCTTTCAATCTATTCACAAGGAAAATTTTTTTGCGTTTTCTTCTATTGACCATTATCAGTATGGTAAAAAAACAATTTTCATAGGTAAAAATTTTCAAAAAAATTTTAAAACCGTGAAATTAGCGAAATTAAATTCCAGTGAAATATACCCCCTATACGGTAGCCAATTCTGAAAAATACCCTATACTATAGCCCATTTTTTTTTCTTTAAAAATGCTCCAAAATCCCCTTACTTTTTTATTACAATTTCTGATACATATTAATGTCCTTATGCTATGTAGAAAGTTTGAGCTGTTTCCGACAAATAAATTTTGAGTTATGAGCACTTTTTAAAAATGAGCCAATTTTTGAAAAATTCCCTGTACTATAGCCTATGCTTTATTCCAAAAAAGGCTCCGGAATCAATTCAAATTTTTATTACATTTTTTGATACATACTGATGTCCTTATGCTATGTACAAAGTTTGGGCTGATTCTGACAAGAAATTTTTGAGTTATGGCCATCTAAAGAAATGGGCAATTTTCGAAAATTTCCCTGTACTATAAGCCCATGGTTTTTTCAAAAAAATGGCTCCAAAATCACACCCAATTTTTATTACATTTTCTGATACATATTGATGTACTTATGCTATGTAGAAAGTTTGAGCTGATTCAGACAAGAAATTTTTGAGTTATAGCCATCTAAAGAAATAGGCCAATTTTCGACATAGCCCATGGTTTTTTTTGAAAAAATGGCTCCAAAATCACACCCAATTTTTATTACATTTTTTGATACATATTGATGTCCTTATGCTGTGTAGAAAGTTTGAGAAGAGTGTAATGCCACATATACACAAGACACAATGCATTGGTATATATATATAACAGTATATTTACTGACCTGAGCTGAACCAATCAAGTTGCCATGAGTAGATGAGAGAATATCTATAAAAGGACATTATTACCCTTTATATAAATTCCTCACCTTTTATCCCGACAGTGTATCTAGGATCATTATACCGATCAGGTATGCCCCTCACCTTCGTCAAATAAAATAAAGTGGGTGTGATACCAGTAGGTGGAGCTTCTTCTAGAGGTTTGTCCTCAATTAAAATACAATCGTCATCCTCATTGGGATTTGGCTTTAGTTTCTTCGATGGAGGATCCTTTACCTCTTCCTCTTCTACCAGGACAATAGGAGCATTGGAAGAGGAACCTGCTGCTACTTTGGAACTGACTTTTAATTCACAAAATAATATAAATTATTCTAAAAGCAGTAGCAGCTGAGAATACAGTCTTACCTATCGTGTGTCTGTAATTCTCAAAGTGGGTTGGATTCTTTCTGTAGCAATTCGGATCATATCTACACAATGGCTTGTCTTGATCTTCTCCAGTTTGGTCTTCCTTGGAGGCCATTTTATTAAAAGTGGGAGTGGTTAAAAGTAGGTCACGCCCATAATTCTGATGATATGGATG